CGGGCGACCTCAAGCACATCGGCAACCTCTGCATCTCCTCCTTCGCGCCCGCCACTGCGGCGGCCAAGATCATCGTCCGCGGCTTCGACATGTCGAAGAAGGCCACCCTCCACTTCGGGACCGCGCTGGAGGCCTCCACGTTCCTAGACAACTTCAACCGCACGAATGGCGCCTGGAATGTAGCTGACCCGCTGCACCCAGGCGCACAGCTCACACTTCGCCTGCGCCGAGACCTTGACTTCCAGGGTCGCCAGCTGTTTTTATCTCTCGGGCGTGTCCGATGCCATTTGACGGACCTCATGCGGAACCGCGGGTATGAGGTCGGGAGCTCTGGGCTTGGGGGGTGCGTCTACATCCTCCGTGGCCCGCACGACCCAGTTCCTGCCGTCAACATCTCCGTCTCCGACAGCGGAGCCGTCGAGACGGAGACCGTTCGAGACACGCTTTTAGAATTTGGCATCTCACAGCATGCAGCCGCACTTGAGGGGGCTGCACAGGTTCAACTGCGCCGCCCCTTTCGGCGCTGAACCTGACCGGTCTGAAAGCTTAGGCAGTTCGCCTCCTCCTCCTCCCCCCTTCCTTTGATTGTTATGTTACCGTCACGGACCTGTTCATGCCTGGGCCCTCTCTCTCCCTTTGCACGTGGAACTGCGAAGCGTTGATGGCATCGGTCCGCTCTCAGAACGTGCAAGCTTCCAAGAGGTACTTCAAGTATATCGGATTGTGCAAACAATGGCATCGTAGCTACACAAGAGACACACGGTCATCGAGGTTACATAACAGAACTTGAGCGTGAGTTCCGCGCGCACGAGTTTGGCCTCTCATTCTTTGAGGACTCCAACCGCGAGGGTGGCGTCATCACCGCTATCTCATCTTCCCTGGCCTCCCAGTTCCAGGACATTCGGCACCGCGCGCTGTTCATTGGCAGGATCCTCAAGAGTGCCCTCATAGGCCCCAGGGGCAACTTGGTCATATATCACGTTCATCTTCCCAACACGTGTGATTTGATCTCTATCTTCACGGGTGTTCTTCGACTGCTGCAGTCTGACTTTAACTCGCACATGCACGGTGGCCATGACATTCCCGCCCACTGCATTATCATGATTGGCGACTTTAACTTTGTTCTGGAAGAGGGAGGGAGGATTAAAGGCGATGGGAGTGGGTGGACACCTGGTAATGCTTCTCATTCCCGCTTATTCCACAAGTTGTTCCCGTGCGTCACGGAGATATTTCAAGACCAGGACACAAGACGGGGCAAAAGGGGGAAAGCTGTCCATGTCACCTCCAGGATTGACCGCAGTTATTCCTCCCTCCCCCCTGCCCTGCTTCGGGACATCACCTCTCGGGCTGGGGTCCTGGGCCCCCTCAAAGCCTTCCAGGCTAGTGATCATATCTCTGTTGTGGCTACCCTTGAGACTTTTTCCCCGTCCTCGCGGCACCCTGCCATCTCTCCTTTGCTTGCTTCCTTACCTGAATTTCATTATGCCCTTGATGGGCTCTTGGATGAAATTCCGCCGGCCCGGGGGGCCCTCTCAAAACTTCAAGTAGCCAAAGATTACTTCTTCGAGGCCGCCTCTGCTGCGCGTGCTGCGCTAGGAACTCGCCGAGCTGTACCGCACCAAGACAAGCATCATTGGTCTTGCTGCTCTGCGTGCCCTTCGCCTCGGGCACGAGCAGCGCCTTCGCCGTGCGACCGGATGTTACCCCAGACTCCGCGTTCACTTTAATACTGATCTGTCCGAATGCGCGCATCTTGACGGTCTGTGTCAACGCGCCCAAGCGCTCTACAACAAAATTCTGAAGGATGAAGAGCCAGAGATTAACAAGTCCGAGCTCGACGCAGACCGCAAGCGTGACCTGACTGCCCGCAACCAACGGCGCAAGGAGCTCTGGAGCAAGTTTCGTAGGCGCACATACCTCTCGGCGGTTTATTTATGACGACAACGGGACCCCCTCTCGTGCACTGAGGCCTCTGCAGTTGCCCTTCGCGACTATTGGCGCGATGCATTTAAAGCCCCATCGGTCGACGTTTCGCTCTGGAACGAAATCAACCCGTTCACCCAGGTTCTCTCGGGACCTCTTGATCGTGAATGGCTTCTTCCTTATTCTGTTTGGTTTCAACTGATCACAAAACGTCATCATAGCATGCCTGGACCTGACGGCATCCCGTACGCTGTCTGGGAACTGCGAGTGGCTCCCGGATCCTCCATAGCGTCTACCTCTCGCTCTTTGATGGCCAGGTGCAGGCCTTCATCGACGATGTGACGAGAAGCCTTCTTGTAGTTTTACCAATGGGCTCGGACCCTCGTGATGCTCACGGCTGTCCATTACTTGTCCGCCATCCGCCTGCTACAAGGCCTTTGAGCATGAGCAACACGGGCGTTAAGCTCTTGGCCAATGCTTTCACTGCCTCTCTGGCTGAGCACACTGCGCCTCTTGTCGGTAGTTAACAAGCGTGCGCACGTGGACGCGACATGCTGGCGAATGCGATGCAGGCGGG